CACAGACGACCCCGTAACAATATGCGTTTTGTACTGCTGTTACACAGCACAAAACGCATAATAATTAAAGAGGAAAGTAGGAAATGAGAATTAGAAAATTTGAAAATTTGTAAAATTCAAAAAAATTATTATAATTGGTAAGAAATCCGACACATTGGCATGCGCCTTTGTCGATTTATCATCGAAACTAATCGCAGAGGGGCTGATTATCGCAATGCCAGGGTCGGATTCATGACTTTTATAGCACAAAAACTGCTTGTTACTGCTCCTTTTTCAACATTTCTAAGTACTGGTATCAAAAATAAAACGCTGGGCATTAGTTAAATTACAAAATTTGTAAAATTGGTAAGATTATAATGGTAAGAAATCCGACACATTGGCATGCGCCTTTATCGATTTATCATCGAAACTAATCGCAGAGGGACTGATTATCGCAGTGGCAAGGTCGGATCCGTTACTTTCAGTTATCTTACCCACCACCATTCTTTATAAAATTTTATTCTTCCAGCCTTAAACCATGTGGAATTCAGCGGATTTCCTTCAGCTTACACGGACCCTTGAATTTTATCCTTCGGCTCACTTGCGGCCGCAAATTATCACCGTATATCTACCACAACCCCAGTATATTTCTGCTTGGAATGACTAATTTTGACTGGACTTCCATGGCTCTTTCTTTCCTTTCTACTTCAGCGCGAGAACTATTTTTGTTGCCGTGTTCAACACGTCTAAGTATTTTTGCCAATAATAAAACGCTGGGCTTTAGTTTATACCTGAATAAATACTTTTTTTTCCAGGCACCTGGTACTTCTACGGCTGCTACCGCTTCTGCGGGCTCTGCTCCTGCTGCTGCTGCTGGTGGTGGTGGTGGTGCCCCTGAAAAAAGTTCAGCTAAACGCCGTAAAGTTGTAGAAACACCGCAAGAGGAAAACATAGACGATCTGATCGCGAAACTTTTCCCACAGGTAAAACTGTTATGATTTATTTGCGCATTGTATAAGCTGATTGTAATATTAAGGTTGACCCTAGATGCCGAAGTGGCGGGGGAGGGGTACGATTGAATTTAGTGCGAGAAAAGGAGGCAAGAATGATACAAGACATTTCGGTCCATTAAGTCATACACGTCTTAACCCGACACTGCGACTGGCATAAGTCAATATATGTGAATTAATAGTTCCTATTTGAATTTTTTTCTTCGTTATTTTATCCATTTAGCTAATAATTTATGTTATTGAAGTACTGATTTACCTCTGTTCTGATTAACAGTTTTGTTTCCGCTGTCAAAACTTATCCATTTCTTAATATTAGTGAACAACGGCAAAATTCGCAAATGACTTGTTTAATAGCATTTCGCCAACAGCAAGTATCCATTGACAGAGCTGTTGGTGGTTTTTTTTTCTATT